CCCCGGCAGGGGCTATCCTTCGGTAGCAGTAGCATATATAGGGTTGGTATGTTTTAGTCATCCACCCTCTTTAAAATTTCTGACTCGGTCAAATTCTAGTGTCTTGTCAAGGTGACATGTCGTATCAGTTTTAGACTTCGTTCATTGTCTATCTAATCCATGTTCTTAATCAAAAGCACTTTTGATGGATGACGTTTGCCCTGGTATTTTCCTGGCGAGAATTGCCTTAGATAATTCTTGCAGGAAATCGTTGAGTTTATCCCCGGCGAGAGCTACTTTGCTAGTTCTGATCGATCTTTTAGCGAAAATTACTTCGCTAGTGCTTGCTTGAAGCACCCTACACTTGACCCATGAGTCCATTTAGATGTTATGACATCTTTTTCGATCAATTTGGTTGGTTCTATCCGCCTCATTGAAGACATGTTGCGTCAGTCGGCTAACTGACCCATATCTACATTGAGACATCTAATGTCTCCCCAGTAAGAATTAGTTTGCTAAGTGGAAGAATCCGCAGCGAGAGTCGTCTCGTTAATACTTGTGAAAGCACCCTTGTGATTAGAATGTTCTAGTTATCTAACTCCATTGATATTTCAATCGGTTTGGTTGGTTTTGTCCACCCCATCAAATAACATGTGTCAGTCAACTAATTGGCCCATGTCTGCATCGAGACATCTGATGCCTCCCAGGCAAGAGCTACCTTGCTAAATAGTGGGAGAATCTTCGACGAATCATCTTGCTAGTGCTTGTGAAAGCACGCTTGTGGTTAGACCATCCTGGTCATATAATCGCGTTGATATTCTCAATTGCATCGGTTGGTTATGTCTGTCAAGTCAAGTAACATGTATCGGTTTTACCACCGATCCATATTTTGTTGGAATACTTTGATGTCCAATTGTTTTGATGTTCGATGGGGTTACTTCAGTCAATTCAGACCAACACCCTTTAAAAGAGAAGTCGATCGCTGTGTCTGCCATGTCGAGTAGCATGTTGCATCAACTTTTATAGCCTATCCATGTTTTGTCAGAATGACTTGATGCCTGGCATTGTTTCTATGCTTGTGAGGGTTACCTCGATCAATCAAGCTCGATATCCTTTAAAAGAGAAGCATCTTTCCATGCTAGATCGCCGAGTGTCCGGCATATACTTTGAGCATGACACATCAGGCTATCGCGACGTATGATTGCTCATTTGATATATGGTCGAGATACATACCTCACGTGTCATATGATATATCCGAGCTGGATACATCTCCTATTTTGATTGATGCATAGTCAGAATGCATACCCCCTAGACTATTTGATCGGGATACATACCTCCCTCATCACCTGATACTCAGGTTAATTGAACTATCGTTTTCACTTGTTTAACCCTTGACGGTAACACCTCGTTCCGAGGCACCTCAGGTTTTGCAGTCATCTGGCTTTGAAACCTCTTGAAATGTACAACTATTCAGACGATTCTTCTATGAGAGCATTTTCGGTTTTTTATCCACATACTTCGATGTCATATGACATTATAGTTAGCTTTGTTATGAGAACATCTTGTCTTCAGATGTTTTGGTTTTATAGTCATATACTTCGATGTTACTCAAGCCAAATGACCTCTCCGTCAGCTCTACTATGAGGATTCGTCTTCGGACGTTTTCGACTTTATAGCTACATACTTCGATGTTGTCAGAGTCATCTGACATTATAATCGGCTTTGTTATGAAAACAACTCGTCTTTTAATGCTTCAGCTTCGTAACCGCTTGTTGCAACACTTCTCAAGTTATATGACGCTTTAGACAGCTCTCTCATGAGAATACGTTGTTGTATTCAGCTTGTTAGTCATTTGATTATGAAATCACTCAAACCATATGCCCCTTTGGGTCGGTTCTACTTTTGAGAGTATCTTGTCCTCATACATTTCTGACCACCTAGCCAATTAAGGTGAGTGCCTCCAGAACCATATGAAACACATGATTTTATAGACGGTTCGATAGTAAGAGTATCTCAACTGGTTGGCAAGCTACCGCCTTGATCAAGATATTTTGTGCTTTATAGCCTCCTGACTATGGTGATGAGTGCTTCTTCTCCATGGAAGTCAATCCGACTCATAATCAAATTCTTTTTGAGAGAGCATAATATGAAACTTACGGTCACACCAGATGATCGAGCCTCCTCCTAATTTTGTCGTTACGACTGAGGTCAGGTAAATTTTGGGTTCCCGCCTCTATCATTTTGAATATGGTCAATAGAAGGTACTTATTTCTTGCGACTGGAGGTGACTTTTTAGTCAAAAATAATTAAAGATCCGGGTCACACGAGATGATCGGGTCTTTTCAACTGTCCACACTGTTGAGTCACTGAACAATTGCCACTTCGATTAGAATGTTTTGGTCTTTACGACAACCTAAAGATTGTGATGGGTGTCACACTCCGCGTGAACTTTCTATCAAGTTCTTCGCGCGATAGCACAACAAGAGATCTGGGTCACACAAGAAGATCAGGTCTTCTCAATTGGCCATATTATTGAGTCCCTAGCCAATTGTCACTTTTCAATCAAGGTACTTTGAGCTATATAGCTGCCAGATTGAAGTGATGGATGCTTCATTTTAAGGGGATCAGTCAAACTCGCAATGGGGTCCCTTTCAGGGGAAACATAATAGGAGACTTAGGGTCACATGAGATGATCAAGTTTTCTCCTTTACTGTTACGACTGAAATCAGATAGAGGTTTTCGTCATTCTGTCATTTCAAAAGATATGACAGACAGATTGATCTACCGTTACGAATGAGGTCAAGCAAGACTTTCCTCAGCCCGTCTAGAAAATCTGGACTGGTTGACGGGCCTCCCTGACCCTCCTAATTCTACCTTTTACGATTACTCTACCCTTTCGTTTGTTGAGTCCCTTTGAGCTATATCGCTCCTTTGACATAGTTGGTATCATCTTGATGGCCTGATGCCTATAAGTTGGCGCCTATTTGGGATACGACGATTTGTCATCTACCCTTATAGTTCAAACGTGTTTTGACGTATAGGGACATACCTATCAAAATGATTTTAGTTTTTTTTTTGGGCTCCGTGTGCTAATGAGCCGCTATTCATTTGAGATGTGAGAGATTTACTTTTTGTTTGATGGCTTAACGAGAGTTTTAAAGCATCGTGATGTTCCCACACGGATCAACCTCCATTTGATGATCTATTTCCCCGAATCTATGATAATATAAAGTGAACCCCTTTTATCGAGAATATTCTTGGGCATCCCCAAAGATGTAATTATCTAGAGGGAGACGTTCCTTTGGGAAACTCTTGACCCATAACAAAAATGTTCTTTTTAGTTCTCTGGTTACGGGTGGCTTATGTATAGATTCTCTTCGTAAATACCGTGTTTCAAGGAATTTAGATCCGATCTTATTTAGACATATACTCTCGACCCATCACACGAAAATTGCTCATACATAAGTCTTCCGTCTCTTTACTTTTTATTTGTTTGTCTATTTGTTGTTGTGTATCTTTTCTACTTGATTACTCTCCTTTTTGAATCATTTATATGAATTGGGGGGAGATTTATTCGAACAAATGAATAATATGACGATATATAAATAGACAATCTGACGATTCCGAGTGTTAAAAAGAACCAAGAAAAACAACAACAAAAGATGATCTTCTCAAATTCAAGATGAGTCTTTAAGAAACTTCAATATTAATGATCAAAACTTTTACAAAAACAATATGAAAGTACACCCACAAATTAAACAATTTGCCAGTAATACTTGAAAAGGAACCGGTCTAAATCAACTTTTCTTAAGAAAATAAAATACCCATTTCAACTAGAACTCAAGTCACAAATAGTCTTGGTAAACTTTTAATAGCAAAATCCACTTGTGGAGAGTACCAAAAAATAAAAAAAATAAAAAAGAGCTAACCGACTATAAAGTTGATTAGTTTAAATAATGAACGTGAAGCCGAAGAAAACAATTCAAACCAAAGTTATAGATGGTCTCGCAAAAGAGTAGAAGGGTAAAATATCGTCTAAGCATATGTCTAATGAAACCATTCACACAAAGGATTTATATGAGAAATCTTAAGTTTATTTTCAGAAATCATTTGATAAGCACATAGAGTAGGGGTCGAGTAGCACAAAAGTGTAACCATCAAAAAAATAAAAATAGGATATGAATCTGTAAATAATTTTAATACTAGTACGAAAACAACGAAACTTTTTTGCCAATGAAAAAAAAAAACGGAGCTATAAACTCAAAAACCTTAACTTTGGAGTAAATAAGAATAGATTTACTATGAGAAGATGGCAACCAACTTGTGCCAAAATGAATCAAATCATTCTGAAAGGATAAAGAAAAATAAGTGTAAAAAGGTGGAGAATTCTTCTCACCAACTAATTCAACAAAAGAACAATGTGTGCACACACATGCAGCAATATTTGTTGCATTCAAAGCTTGGGGAGGAACTGAATGTCGCAACATTGCTTTCCAAAGTAGTGAAGGAGTGTCAACAACACCAATGGAGTGAACTCTTTGCACTATAACTTGATAAATAGGACGTTTAGCTGATGCAAGGGAAGTTGGTGAGAAGATCGAGTAAGGAATGGAGACTTCTGCAATAATTTAGATTACAAGTACTTCTAGAATAATGTTAATAGCATCGAAGTTCCAGGGAATCATCTTGTAACATAACGTGTAAGAAAATGGTTAATAAAATTTTAAAAAATAAATGCATGCAAGATCTTAAGCAGCACAGTTCTTTCCCTTAATATATGCCTCAAATCTTATAAAAAGAGTAGTGTTACTCAAAATTGCCACCGACTTATATATCAAAAATATGTAATGATGAGCAAAAGATAAAAAAAATTGCAAGCTTTCTCAAAACATAGATCTATTGTGAATGGTTGCATTAGAAAACATAGTAGCTTGACATGAATGCCAAAAACACATAAATATCCAATATTAAACCACGAGACAAAAAAAAAAAAACTAGCTTAGTGCATGCATTTTTGTTACCTCAAGTGAGTCATTACTATCACTCAATTGTTCTTGCACAGAAGTCAATTGTTCCTCCAAACTAAATTGCTTAATCAACTCTGCTATTTTTTCCTCATACATTTGTGTAGTCTCGGCAAGTAACTTCTGAAAAGCTGAGCTCTCAAGTTGGTGCTGCAAATAATCAACACAAAATTTTGATGCCGAATAATATCTAATAAGCAATCTCAGTCAAGAAAACTAGTTTAAATTCATAGTTAAGCACTCGGTGTTGATAAACATTGTCAAGAAAATGGCCAAACGTATGTAGATCTTAGTGGCATGTTAAAAAAAGTATAAGTTAATGAAAGTATCTATAAACCTGGAGAAAACACTAATGAAACTATATCTGGCAATCTGACTGTTACCATAAGATTCTGCAGCACAGATCTTTACGACACTTTCAGTAGATATACATTAAAAGTTAAAAAGGTTTACCTTGTCCATCATAGCGAGATTTTTCTCTGCTTCAGCTGATACTTCAAACTCTTTCAAACGCTTTTCCATGTTATCTTTTTCATAATCTCTAAGTTTTTGCTCCCTTTCCATCTGGGATGTGAGAAAATCTACCTGATTCTCAAGCTTTCTGCACAAGCTTTCATAATCAAATTCTTCCTTTAGCTTCAATGTGTTGATAACCTTCATTGCCTGGAAATCAGAAAGCATAAATAAATTGAGCACGAGATTTCAAAATAAAAAACGCTTGTAACTTACATCCCATGTTACCATTGTAACTGTAGTTTTGCAAGCAATCAAAACTAAAAGATTGAAGGTGACTTGGACATCTATTAGAGCAGAATGTGGATCACTTCCTCCCGCGAGAGAAAACTAAAGAAAACGAGAGTATCGGTCCAATTGAAGGACCGGTTCAGCTTTTTAGCCCAAGTGGTACAGGGAGGCCTCCTTAGGGCCCTATTTTACTTTATGAGGGTGGCTTCCTTGGAGCCACATTGTAACTGCAGTTTTGCAAGTAATCAAAACTAAAAGATTGAGGGTGACTTAGACGTCTATTAGAGCAGAATACGGGTCACTTCCTCCCACAAGAGGAAACTCCAGAAAACGAGAGTATCGGACCAATTGAAGGATCGATTCAAATTTTTAGCCAACATGGCGCACAGCAGGCCCTATTTAAACTTATTCGGCCATTAATTAGGGTTGTTTTTGCTTTGAGACATTTATATATGTTGTTGTTGTGATGCTTGGACATTTTACTTTTGTTTTATCCTATTGGGAGACGTTCCTATCTTTCTTGGACCTCTTTCTTCAAGTAGTAAATTTGCATCTTGAAGAGAAGAGATGGTGGATCCTCCCATCATCCTTACCTCTCAGTTCACCTCACTTTTTTTAGATCTGACAACTGCCAAACCGCTTCCACCCTTTTCCAAACTCCGACGACCTCACATATTCTCTTCCTTTTGCCAATTTACGCAACTCTCCCCACTAAATCCAATCAAACAATTCATTCAAGAAACTCGAGAACAGGAAATAAATTTTAAGATGAACAATTGTAAACAACATCCATACACATTCTAAAATTTTGCAAGTACACAAGGTCCCCAAGATTACAATAAATACAAAATTAGCAATGAGAATAACCTATCATGCATAAGCAAAACAGTAGAATAAGACACTGGCCTTGTAACAGAAAATACAGAATATTACATGCCGTACATCGAGATTAAAATTTCTAATGCTGGCCAAAAGGAGCGGTTTTATTATCACTGTAAACTTCCTGGCGTATAATTGCCCAAGAAACTAATGGAGCAATTAAGCTATTGATAAAGGCATTGAGAATAAATGCAATATTATATTTGTTCATTCATAATAAAGGCAGTAAGCAACACTGACCCTCTGTCCAAACATTATTGTGCTTGCTGTTTCTGAATAGTATTTATTAGATGAACCAACTGTTATGACAAGAGAGGTCCTCGCATTTCCTGTACAACGGCAGAAGCAGAAAAAAAAATTATAAATCACACAGAAAAAAGTGAAACGTACAGTTGGGGTCAATAAAATCATAATCATAGAAATTATTGTAAGGAAAAAAAAGTTAATAATGTGATGATATCATAATATGGAAAGATCCACTCAATAACTTGGTGGTGTTCAACTCTTTAGAACGGTAAGAAGAAAAAAGAATCTCAAAAAGATACCAGATAATATAAACTGCAGTAAATTAATGAAAGACACTAGAGCTAACTGCCCTAAGGTGCTACATTTGCAATATATTACAATAAGACCTGAAAATAAAAAAAAAATGTAATAAAATAAGAGAGTAAAACCTCCAAATGAGTCACGAAGGAGCCTCGTAAGCTTGGAGTCTCTTGTCGGTATATGCGGGCTGTTTTCAGCTAAAGCATTTATGCATTTTCCAAGGGAGGTAAGAGAAAGATTGATAAACTTTGCCTCTTCTAGCATGTGACCCTCGCTACCTTCAAAGTGGAAAATATACTACCATAAAATAATGAGAAACAAAATTGGTGTTCGCAATTCCAGCATCCAAAATAAAACTATAAAATTTATTTGTAACAGCTTAAGCAAGCCTAATAAAAAACAAATATAATTTAAAAGCCTTACCACTAAGAGCCGAAAAAAATGAAAACAACCTAATGCAAAAAAAGTATAAATTATGAATCAATCACATGATACTCCCTATCTAAAAAGTATAAATTATAAATCAATGAAAACCAAATTGCAGTTTTTCCCTTGGCCGCTGCCATTTGCAGGTAATGTAGCTGTTTCAATCTTTCATCTAAAGTCTTTCCTTCTGCAAACGTTATATTATTATTCGAAACTTTCCTTAGGCTCTTTCCTTATCTGATTGCTATCCTTTTCTCTATGGGTTTTAGTTCATTCTCTGCGCTGAAGCTGAAGTCAACTGCTCGGTAGCTGTATTCGGTTTCTAATTCAAATCTTGGCATTCAAGGCACAACGAGACTCGATGAATTTGCTTGAAGGGAGTTTTCAAAGTTGAAGACTTACTGTTCTTGCTGATACTAAGATTGGAAACTAGTTGTGCTTGCCAAAATTAAATTTTAGTGATCTGAAAACTTGCAGTATTAGAATAAAACTTGGAGAATTATGAGAAATTACTTATTTTGAGCTTCCTTGAATAGTAAAAATGACCCCAAAAGAACATAAAAATAATAATTGAGCAATTTATGGTATAATAAAATTCAGATTTATCTCAACTCTTGAGTGTTGTATGTTGCTGGATGTGAATTTTTTTAGCATTTACAAGTTTTGACAACAACTTAGTACTTCCGTGAAGCCTATAACTTCCAGCTTAGAGATTGTTGTATGTATGTGATTGAGATTCTTTCACAATTTGACATGTATCAATTTCCATTTTTGAGCCAAGAATTTCATTTCTTGGAGAGTTTTACATTTGATCTCTGATTTCCTATAGAATTTCAAAGTTTTGTAACTTCCAAACCATTATTTATCTACAGTACATTTTTTTGTAGCTTCCATTCTTTTTGGGGTATTTGCATACATAACACAAAATTCTTATGTATTTACATATCTAAGACCTAAACTTTCATGTTTACATCCATTACACTCAAGTCTTTAACATGACATCAAAAATACCACTTTTATGAAAGGTTAGGTGTTAGACGTGTAAGTACATAAGAATTATTTCATTGTGTGGTACGTGTGTAATTTTCCCAATTTTATGCTGTATTTCAAAGTGCATCGCATCTTAGGTCAGAATTATTAAACCCTAAACTTATGATGGGAATATGAGTATTAAAAGTAATTCACCTTGAGAATATTTTATTACAGTTGTATGTTTCCATAAACGTCCTAGTGAAGAGATGGAATGAATTAATATGCAATCTATTAAAAATGCTATATGAGGCTTTAACTAAATTTTTAAATGTGCATGGTATGTGGGTGATTTTAGGATTACCACACTTGCAATTAAAGTCTCCAAAAAAATCAGTATCAAGATCAGTTAAGGAAAAACAAGACTAAATAAGCAATGAAATAAATCAAAATAAAGATCTGACGGAGAAACTATCTTCCAGCCTCAAAACTATCATACATACCGTGACAAAAAGAACTTGTGTAACTAAATCTGGACCTACTGAAAAAGCTTTAGTATATGAGTACTATTTTGAAGATTTATTAAATGCAAAAGAAGATATGCAATTATAACATGAATCTCATATGATTATATTCAAAATGAAAAATTACTTGCATTAGAACACTGTATAAACTTGAACCTATATCTAAAAAATAGCTGGAATTTGGGTCATAATTGAATATTAGCATGAGAACACATCTGAACAAGAACGTACGGCATTAAGCCAAAAACCTTAAATGAAAATAACTTCCGAGAGAAATTAAATCTACTTCTAAAAAAGAAGCTCAAAATAATATTTGAACAAGAGCTAGAATTTGAGCTGAAAACTAAAATTGAACCTATCATATTTTAACCTGAACCACAAAGAAAATCAAAAATCTACACGACAATAAAAATCTGAGCTTCTTGCCCAACTTAAATCAATTGCTAAACGTAAAATCGAACGAATAATGCCTAATATAGCAAATGAATGCATAAAGAAAAGTAATAAAGTTAAACTTGAATATAAAAGTAAACAATTTGTGCCTACTAAAAATGATAAATCATTTAAACAAGCTAAGTTAAATTCTGACAAAAGTTCTAATGAAGTTCTTTCTAGAGAAAGTTGTGGCGAAAGTGAAAGTAAGTGAATATTTCAAAGAATCGTTAAAGGAGAGCGCCTTAAGAGAAAATTGAATTTAAAATTTTCATCCATCTGGACAACTATAAAAATGCATAAATCATTTCAAATAATATTTAAGCCATTTGGACCAGATTTATTTAAAGAGCTTCTCCGTCAATGTAAGCATATCATATGTAGTAGGTGTTTTGCCAATTTTCAATTTTCTTAATCATCTTATCTTCTATACATGCATTATAAACATTATTAATCTCAATTAGGACATGTTTCAAATTATATTACTTCATTAATGGTCTGTACTATTTGAATGATTTAACTAATTTGCATAAAAAGATTCAAATAAAACTATCTATTATTTATAGCGACTATAAGTATTTTGTTGATTAAACGGGGGACAT